ATCATGGTATCCTAATATTAATAATATAGACTATTTTAATTTCTATTCCTAACTCAGCATACATAGACAATACGATTTAAATTACTGATAGTTATACCAAACTTAAAAATATTTTGACATAGTGCAGTCTTTTTTTGACCTTAACTCAATGCAAGTTAATTTGGAAAAATCCTTTATAATAATTTCTGAAGTAACAACAAATGATATCTCATTCAACAACGCCTATTTGAATAATCCAATGACCATACTAACTAAGAAGCCCAATGAATCAATCAGATATTTAGGCATTTGGATAACAGTTTTTTATAACAAAAAGTTCATCAAATAACAATTAGAAAATGAGATCACTGATTTTATCTTGAAACTCAATACCAAGCCTATCACTGACAAATAGCTAAAATATCTCTGCAACCAAGTTCTCATTTCTCAGCTTGAATACCGATCTCAACTTATTATTTTTTCACAAAAAGAATGCCTTATCCTGTTTTCTCACATTCATACTTTTATCAAACATAAACTCAAATTCAACAAATGCACTTCTAACAGTACACTGTCTAACAAATTAGCACTTAGATTTAATGATTTAGCATCTAATATGTTACACTTCAAATTACAACATTTTATCTTAATCATCAATGGAGATGCCACAAAGTCACTGCTTTCTCTAACTACTAAAATCCATCTTAAACAAATCCAAAACTTTTTCTGATTACCTGATAATCCTATTACATGTTGGCCATCACAATTAAAAAATCTAAGACATGACAATTACCTATGTAATATGCTTATCCTTTATCTTCAAGCTCTTTTTTTGATACAAAGGACCGTTTCTAATACTTCTAATTTTAATATCTAAGGAGGTACCAGAATACTTAACTCTATCATTCCATAGAAGAAGAAATAGATCCCTCACTTAAAAGATGCAGAGCTTTATTCTTTGACTAATTTGTTACTCAAGAAGATTTTTTACTGGAATACTACAATCTCTCTCTCAAAGCTAATACTCCAAATAGAAAAGCTATTCCAGGATGATTCTTGCCTTACAAAACATTGTTCTTTTAAACCCTGTTCATTCAAACTGCCTCAAACCTGAATACTGTTTTGCCAGTTTTACTTCACAAGGTTATATTACTACTGCCATTTCTGATAGTAAGAGAAAATCTTCCTGGATAGCCCTTTGGACTCCACTAGAATAAAACTATTATAACTTACCATATTCTGGTCAAGGAATTATTAGAAAAGTTATAAAATCACGTTTTGTCTCTAATAAAGTTGTCATACAACATTACGTCAATAATTCTGCATTCAACCATGATCCTAGATCAGTCTCAAAAAACAGAATCTATTTACCCATGTTCAGGATGCTCTTTTAATTTATCAGCACTAATATTTAATTTCAACACATCTATTACTACCTGATTTTGTAATAACATAGTTGATGCTAATCTTCTACAAGTTATAGATATCACTTACTTTTCCTCTGTTAATGATAATAAACTATACTTTTTAAAATGCAACATTTGGTCTGTTATTGATTAGGCAAAACAATATTATATAACAGTATATCTACCTACTGTTATGGCAAATAATCTCATTCTTAATTTTTCTTATTTATTACTATTTTTAATATATTACCAAATAATAGTGTTAGCTCACCCTTATTGAAATTTTATCATGCTCTTCAAAATGAACGATCTCTTACATTTTACACAGATAGATCTTATAAATTCATTTCTTCACCTCTTATATCATATTTAAGTTCTGCATTTTGCTTGGTACATAACTCTTTAGACATAGCATTCTCAGCTGCTGTCCCTGCTATTTGGGCTAATTCTACTAATGCTGAAATATTTGCTCTCCTTTTAGTCCTTTTAATTAGCCCTTCGTCTTCCTCAATTTCTGTTCATACTGACAGTTTAGCTCTTATCCATACTTATAATTATATAGTTAAATCAAATGCAATACAATACTACTTATGTTCAAAATTCCTTTTTACATTTTTAATCAATTATTTTTAAAGTCATTGAGAAACAACAAATAACTATCTTTTTTTTCAAAGTTGCTGCTCACTCTAATGATCTATATAATAACAAGGCTGACCATCTAGCAAAATCTTCTCTCTTTTCTCCTCCTCTAACTTTATTTCTAAATCATATTCCTTTTATTAACTACATTCCTACATTTAATAATATGCCTATACATCATCATTTACGTTTCTTTTTAAAAGATTATATAAATATCAAATATTTCTCTGACTATTATTACCTCAAACAAAACACAAAATATCAACACTTACAAGTAAATTAGCTTTTAACCTTTCACTTTATTCATACTGAATCAGCATCTATTACATCCTTCACAGAAACAAGAAGTCATAGTAGAAAACTTAAATATCTTCTTGAATAGCTTTTGACAGTTCAGTTCATGAAAGCTACCTAACCTCAGTTATATTTACCATTCTGGAAATGCTGCTGCTATAATAGCCATAATAAAGACTTTAACTATCTCTGGTTTTATCCTACTATCAAATATATGCAATCTCTGATCTTTGAATCCATAGCTCATTTAAAGCTACAATTATTCATTTATACTTTCAAATCTATATTTACAGATAATATTAATAATCTTTTGAACCCCTCACATTCAATATGATCACTACAAGCAAATCCATATGATTTCTCTTTTATTGATATTATCAAAGGCATTATTTCTATTAGAATTAGATCAATAACCAAATCGCCAAATAAATTATGAAGTTTATTCATCATTGGCTAGTAGTTTATTGGCTTTTTTCAATAAATCATAAATATATTATTGGGATTTATTTGATTATATCACATAATTTGTATTTTATTCTAAAATCAGAAGTTTAAAATTTTACTAAAAAATATATATATATTTATTATATTAAAAAATATAAGCTAAAATTAATACTATTGATTTATTACATATTATTATTAATAAAATTTGGAGCTTCTAATCCTTCTGGAAATAATTCAGATAAACACCATTTTAAATTTTGACCATGTGCGAGATGTACACTTTTGGATGTTGGAATATTAAAAGTTATATCATAATCGTCTTAATCAATATCATTACTGATTTCTTCATTCACCAAATCGATCCAATGTTGAATTGTAGTTCTTCAAGTTAATTCTATATCTTCTGATAATTCTTGATTATCATCACTTTCACTTACTTCATTTTCATTTATTAAATGAGATTCGTCATCAGATAAATCTAAATTATTTTGATTTTGTAAATTTGAAATCGAAGTTGATTTTTTATTTTTAGATTAAAGTTTTGCTTGTGTCATTTCTTTGCGTAATTGACTCATCATAAGAACTTTATTATACTATAAATATTTAATATATTAATAAAATTTGATTTTAAAATAAATTAAACAAAATAGTATATAAAATTAACCTTAAGGCAGCTGCAACTAAGACTATATATATTTTTCATAGATAAAATAATCATTCTACAGATGCAGAATTAATGCATATACCAAAAATTTGACATGCTACTAAAGCAAGTTCGCTTCCATCTTTTTTAATTGAATTCCAATATTTTAATATATCACCTTGAAATTGATTATAAATTGTAATCTGATATGGAAATTCGTGTTTATTGTAATCTTCAAATTCAAGAAGTATTCGTTAAGGTTCTTTTTCAAACTATACTTTATAATAGTAAATAAGCTAACCTTTAATATAATGTAAAACTTTCAAACGAATATTTTGATTAAAATTAGTTTCACGATAAATTGGATGAAGCCAGAATGAAAGTAATAATAAAGGTTGCTCCTATTGTGCCTAACGCTTCTCCAAATAATCAATCATTTTTCTTGAAAATTCTACATTATTATAACAACTATAAAGTTTATAAAAATATCCAAAGTAATATAGAACTTTATATAATTTTACTGCATTTCGTTGAAGTTTATCAAGTGCATTACATAAAGGAATTAAATGGTCTCTAAGAATTGTTAAATTATATCAAAAGCTATCATCTTTAATTATATTACAAATAGAAGCTTTTAAAGGTTTATCCCAGGTTGATAAATTTTCATATTTAGTAACAAGAATCTTAAGTGCAACTTCAGTTTTAACTAAACTATTAAAACAAATACACTACTCTCAGAAAAGTATCCGGTTAACCAAAATAATATTTTATTTATTTGAGATTTTTGATATAAATAAAACATTTAATATATTTAATATTCAGTAGGCCATCCTTGGCTTCTAATGCATGCTTCGATTCTATGTGGCATGCTTCTATAAGTTTAATATAGGTTTCGGATGGAATTTTTCTCCATTCTTCTTGCAATATTTTCTCAAGTTCACGAAGATTTTTTGGCATTACTAGAATTAGCATGTCGAGTGATTATATTTGTAACAGTGCTTTGTGGAATCTTTAAAAGATGAGCAATAGCTTCATGGGTTCTTCTAGCTATCTGTAAACTGATTATTTTTTTGCGTTCAAACTCATTTAATTCACGACTTTTCCTATATTAAACAGCGCAGTTTTAAAAAAGTGAAATGTTTACGTTTTTATTTATTAAAACTGATCTATGCATTATTACACAAATATAAACATATGTACTTAATCGTCAGAACCAAGAGATTTATTTAAAAAAAATTTTATTTAGTTAATATATCTGATATTGAAAAATTTAAAAAAAGCTTGACCGGATACTTTTTGGAGGGTAGTGTATTTTTAAATAATTTCTAAGTATTTTTACTTTAATTGATCCAGGTGATATTTTTAAATAATTTCAAAGTATTTTTAATTTTAATTGATTCAGGTGATATTATTAACTAATTTCAAATTATTTTTAACTTTAATTAATTATTTTTGAGTTTTCCATCAAATTCTTCCGACACATTATTTCATATATTTAAGGCATGAAAGTCGATAATCTCCAATGATAATTTTTCTTAAATTAATCCTTTCTTCACTTATATATAACGATATTTTCCAAATAATTTTTATTCAATATGCCAAACAATAAAAAAGAAAAAAATAGGTTACATGAAAATGAAGAAATATCTGTAGGAACAGCGCAAATGCGGAAAAAACTTATTACAAATAAGTTTTTACAAATGATGACTTGTAGCAAAAAATCAAATGAAAAAGAGCAAGCAGGTTCGTATAGAAATTCACGCAAACAAATACCTGCTTTCAAAAAAGACCAAGAAACTTTGTCAACCAACCTATCAATAAATGATGTTAACATAGAGCAGAGAAAATCAATCGAATCGTTAACAAGCGATATAGATATGGGGCACAAAAAATTAACTGAACGAGAACCTGTAAACATGGAACTTGACAATGATTATTTTTATGATACCTTCGGAGACTCTGGAAAAGATTATGATTCAATTGCTACCAAAGTTTCGACAACCTCATGAGGACTTGCATCATCGACAAGCCTTACGAAAGAGGAATTTGACATTACTATGGGTCTTTTTGATGCGAAAATTACCTCATTGTACAAACTTTATAAGTATATTAGCAATAAGTAACAGAAAAACAGTAAAGCCTTGAAAAGACGTGTTACACTCGATGAACTTTCAAAAGAATTTTAGAATGTGAGTAATTTAATATATTCAATAGTACTATTTTGACCTTTAAGATACTTAAAAGATACTATGATTTTATAGCGCACATACAGGAAAGTAGTTAAGAAATTATTACTAAATGTTTTATTTTCTTCTGTCAGCGAATTTCGTAATGCATTAGAAGAATTTCTCTCTGAACATGCTGCCTATTTTATTAAAAGTATTGGCAAAAACAGTTTGGTTTTTATGTTTGAAGATAAATTGTTACCAGAAGTAAGTTGAAATCCTAAAACTTTAAAGAACTTCAAAAAATTATGATATTATTTCTTATATTTTTACATTTTTAGATTAAAAATAAATGTCGTAGCAAACGTAATGATATTGCGGCAAGTATTCGCCATGCATTGTTTATTAACTTTGAAGATAAGTTAGATTATGTAGATAATAACACATCAGCTGCTAAGATTGTCGAATGAAAATCGAGCGAAAAAATAAAGAACGCTTACAATGTGCTTTTTTATGACAATGAAATACTTACAGAAATAGGTTACATGGTATTTAAACAATACAAGAATCAGGAACTTCTAACAACACATTGCGTATACATTATCACCATATGTGATATTCTCTTAAACCTGAAAAGTCTTAGGATAAAATTTAACGATAATTCTGTAGTGAAATGAGTAAATGCCTTCTTAGTAACTATATTTATAGTATTTCGTATTCTGAATACTTTGTTCATATTAAAATACATATAACTTTAAAAATATTTATTAAACAGCATGTATATGAAAATAATAGCCCCTTACGCTAAAAATTATGGAACAGATAGCCGAAGAGGAAGCTAAAGCTGCTGCTGTACAAAAAAAATGAACTGAATTGTCATCACAAGCTACAGAAAGCAAAATAATAGCGAAAGATGACGACGATTATGACAACTTAGTAAGCTACAATTTGTTAATAATCGCTATACTTTGATTTGCTTTTTTGTTATGGTAACCAATTAACAAATATCATATATTATTAGATTTTCGGGCTTGATCGAAACTTCTAAAATCTTAGAAGTTTCACTACGCTAATTAAAAATGGTCACCGCAATTAAAAAAAATGGCGCAATTGAGTTGCAACTTGTGGCACAATTAAATTTCCTTATGGCGCAATTAAGTTGCAACTCAATTAAAATTTGAAAATAATTATGGGGACAATCTTTAACGCTAATCATATTAGTTTTTTTTTGTTAGATACAGTATATTATAAAATAATAATAATATTATTATATAAACTTTAAAAATCTATTCTATAAAATTCTGTGTATAATTTTAATAACACAAAATTTCAAAGATTAATATTATAAAAACTTGCGTATAATTTTAATAACCTGAAAATTTCAAAGATTTATTTTATAAAATTCTGCGTATAATTTTAATATCACGAAATTTTAAAGATTTATTCTATAATATTTTGCATATAATTTTAATAACCCGAAAACATACACAGAAACTATAAAATTTTTTCTCCAAAGTTCAGTACTATGTCTTAAGATCTGCGCATGAAAATCAATCTACAGATCTCTGCAGATCTGCAGCCCAAAAATTTTCCTGATGTTACAGTTTTCAATAAAAAGAATAACTATAGAAATGCTGCATTTATTTTAAGCTAAAATATAAATTACATTTCTAATATAAGCTATTATTTATATGACTAAATAAATGTTAGAATTATCATATTAAAAATAAATTAAAAAATAAGGTTTATTTTTGTTTTTATTTTGATTTCTTAATGATAAGCTCTCTTGAAATTCAACAAACTCTATTAAGTTTCTTTAAGACCAAAATGTGTATAGTATAAAAAAAATTTATAAAAAATATTAAATTATTTTTTTACGTGATTATTTATGTTATAACTAAAAAAATTTATTTTTTACTAAAATAATATTTTAGATGTTTAGAAATATCATTTGTATATATTTTATAATGCACAATTAATTAATATATAATAAAGTATCTATTCAAGATTTATGTTTAAATAGCAATTAGTATTAAAGAAAAAATTGATATTTATTTATTACTGAAAATTTAAACTCTCATTATACTAAAACATTTTAGATGATTATTTATATAATAATATGATAATATTATATAGTTACAGTTAGATTTTTTAACATGTTTTATGAAACACTTAGTATGATTTAGAAAATATTAATCTTTATATCTAAACTTAAATTCTATCAAAAATGTATAGACTGTATTAAAAGAAAAAGTAGAAAAAAGGATTAAGAATATAATAGTAAAAAAAATTACCTGTAATATTTTTTTTAATATAATATAGTTAAAATGGAATAATCTCAATAATAGTATACTATTTTAATTAAGACTACTAGATGAAATTTAGAGGTTTTGCAAGTTGTCTAAATGGAAAAAGATAAAATTTAGTGAAATTATATTAAAATCTTATTAAAAATCTGCAAAATTATAAAAATAGATTATATTAAAGCTTATAAAAATGTGAAACTATATTAAAACTTTAGTAAAAATTTAGTAAAATTATAGTTTAGACATTTTGTCAAATCTAAAATGAGTTTAGACAAACAATCTTAACTTCAATGCATTAATAGCATATTGAATCAGATTTAGATATATATCAATGTAGAAAAAAAATACTCAAAATTTCAATTAATTATTAAAAATATTTTATTAGTATTATTCTTTTAAATAAAAAAAAATAAACAGTAAAATATAGTTTATACATATTATTAAAAACTGTTTCTGCTATACTTTTTACAAGTTTTTTTAATAATTATTATATATTTAAAAGTAAAATAAAGATTATTTTAACAAATTATTATATAATAGTTTAAGTTATATAAAGATTCTTACAAATATGTCAAATAAGATAGAAGAACTAATATTATCTAAGATATATTAGCTATTCTTTATTTTTTGTATATAAATCTATTGTATAAATATTAGTATTAAATATTTTTTCATTTTTTTATATTGATTAGTTATCTAAGTGATCTATTTAATTAGAAGAATAGGATTAAAGGACTTATTATTTTTATTAGAAATATTATTATTATCTTTTAGATTGTCTAGTAGGTAAATTTACCTGTAAACTTAAAAAATGTATTATTTTTTTTAATAAAATATCAAATATTAATTTTAGTAATATAATAATTATATGAAAAATATAGTTTAATATATATTTATTAATTTTATTAGAAGAAATTTTAAGTTTATAAGAAATTTTTTTAAATAATTTAATTTTTAAAATTTAAGTTTTAAAAAATTTATTATAAAAATTTATATGTTTATGAACTAATTGAATTACTTTATTACTAATAAAAGTTATAAAATTTCTTAGTAAATTATAAAAGTGTAATAATTAAAGTTATTCTTTATAATAAATTTTATAATATTTTATTATAATTAATATTACTAAAAATAAATGTTAATAAGATTGTCAAAGTTCAATGATAAAATTTTTTAATTTATAATTTTTTAAAAATTATAAATTTTTAGCTTATAAGTAACTATAAATTATTTATTATATAATTAAAAAAATAAAAATTACTATAATTTAATACATATTTATAAAATTAATTTAAAAATTTTAATTTTTCATAAAAATAAATTAGAAAGGTATTTATAGTAAGTAAGCAGGTAAATTTGCTTGCAAACCTTTACAATCTAAGGAATAGTATTATATCTAATATAATTCTTTTATTATTTTAATTAGATTTGAGTAAAGAATATTTATTATTATACTTGAATTTATAAAATAATATAAGTTTTGATTATTATAAGTTTTATAATTTTAAAATTAAACAGATTGATAACATTAATATACATGTTATATTTAGTGATCATTTGAGAGTTAATTAATTTTTTTTAGTAATTTTAAGACTGATAATTTAATAATTAATAAAAAATAAAGTTTCATATTAGGATTAGTTTAGATTAATTTTTTTTTATTAAGATAAAAAACTTTTATTATTTTTAGTAATATCTATAGATCTTTTATTTTTTAAATAAAGATTATGATTATATTTTTTATAATTTATATATAAATTAAAAACGATTTAAGTAATAGCTTTAATAATATTATTAATGAAAATGATATATTGATCATTTTTACTTAAGAAAAGATTAATAAGTTTAAATGAGAATTCAGATTTTTTTAATATTTTATTAATTAATAGATAAATATATTTTTTTATCAATATTACATAATGTATAATAGATCTAATATTTAATTTATTTGTAAAATAAACTTCTAGATAAATTAGAAATATATTTATAATTTTATTTATAGGATAAAAATGTGAGTTATTCAAATAAAATAAGTTAAAGCTTAAATATGTTATTTGCTTTATTATGAAATATAAATCTGATTTAAACAATTTATTTGAGTATTTTTAGGATATTTGTATATGGATATATCAATAAAAAATATATAATATAGTGAAAAAATATCACAAACTTTGTTTGTTTTTTCCTATTAGTTTTTTAGAATAAAAAGCATTTTCAATGTAATAATCAAAGTAAATAAAAACTTTAATTTTTTTTTAAATGAATATCTTTTTTTTTTTTGTCATTTGGAATTATTCTCAAAAGTGTTAAAAGTTTAGTTTTTATCTAAGTCAGTTTTATTAATAAGAGTAATAGTTTCTGATATATTTATTTTATTAAAAGCAGGAGTAGAAGTTAACTTATTTTTACATCTTTAATAGTATTTTGAAGATATTATTTTTGAAGTTAAAAGTTCAGGTTATTATAAAGTTTTTAAAATTGCTTTTTAGTTAAGCATTATTGTTATTTATTATTTGGTGAAGAAAAGTGAGTCTTATTAGACTTGTTTATTATTTTTTTTTTGTTATTTTGGATAGTTTGAGTAATTGACAGAAAGAGTTTATCAAAATATTATAATTTTTTTATTATTAAAATATTATAAATTTTTTTTATGATAGTTTATAAATAATTTTTATACTTATCATTTAAGAGATATAGATTATTAAAATTTAAAAAGAAATTTTATATAATAATATAAATATATATTTATTTTTATTGAGTACTAAAATCATATTTATATATAAAGTAAATTTTTTAGTAGTTTCCTTTTTATATTAAATTTTATATATATATTATAAGATTTTAATAATAAAAAAATATTAAAAATTTTGGATTTTGATAAATCATTATAAAAGTAATAAAACTAATGAAAGAATATAAATTTATAATTCTATAAATTTATATAACATTACACAATTTATACAAATTGACATTATATTCTAATGTGCAGTGATGTGCTTTTAAAAGATTGGAAGCACGATTGGAAGTACCTTCATAATTTCTAATAAAACCATTTGAATTGGAAACTTTCAATCGAATTGCATAAAATGCACATCACAATTATGCTTAATAAATAGTAATTCAAATTCTTTTGTCAATTTTGTGGATCGTTTAAATCATAGAAATTTTATTTGAATTCTGGGCATTACATTTAGTCATCCACGGTGGGGATAATCCGGTCCGAGTATTGAACCTCTTAGCCGCATTAATTACCCGAAAAATTGATTGTGTTATTTATTAATATTTTTAATATTTTTAAGATGGCACAACATGTTAATTTACCTTTTATACGCCAATCTTTTTTCTCGTATTACTTCACGTGCATTTGATTTCAAAACTATTTGTATAATGAAGTGTTTCAGCAATCGTTTTAAACAAATAAAAAGATCATTTTGGAAATCATCCGAATAATTGTTGAATAGGGTTTTTTTTAACCTTATTATTAAATGGTTCATTGAATATATATTTTTTTTCTTTTTTCGGATTTACATGGAATGTCGGTGATGATTGAAATGTGATGAAATTTTTATGCACACCTTAATTAAATACATTTTATGGTCCCGATTTAAAAATAGAATTAATTGTTGTTATGTAACAAAGTTAAGGTAATAATAAATACATTTGATTTTGCTAACAAATACAAATCTTTAATTTATTATTTCCACAATATCAATATTAATATTAAGAAAACTATTATATAACAATTATTATTATATTAAAATTTATACAAATATTCGTTACATGAATAAATAAATAAAAGTAAATAAATAAAATTTCAATAAATCTATAATACATACTTAAAGTTTTAATTCGAATTCAATAGGATAATGGTCAGTGACGCGTTTCGCGGCCTTTTTAATTATAGCGGTATCAGCTTTTCCCTTCGTCCAGCCTTCGTCAAATCTCCATATTCCAGTTTGACCAATCCATTTGCGCTCATTAGCGACCTCAAAAATAAATCGATCGTATGCTGCATCTGATCCATCAGACACGGTGGTATCCCTATTATGTTGGATTCCCCACATCAAATTGTGCTCTTTCAAGATATTATCAATTTCCGTGCGTTGCGTTTTGTTAAGATAAGATCCTGCAGCATTTAAATCGCCCAAAGTTACAATAGGTTCATTTGTGGTACCATCTTTTGAAAGTCCCATTTGGGACGCTTCTTCGGTAAAATCTCTCGTAGAATTGGGTGAATTAGATCCAAAACAGCAACAACAATACTGCGAGAAAAATGAACGTAGTCCTGCAAATCGCTTTTCTTTTTTTTCGGGTCCTTTTTCCAGCTGCCTTTTTTCTTGGACGATGTCACGTACTAATTTCTTTTTAACGTCAACATAAACTTCGCTAACTAAGGCTTTGATCTCTTCATATGCCTTTTCTGGTTGAGTGTGACATCCAACGAGTGTAATTCTAACATTAGACTTTTTTAAATGTTGAAATCTGGCAACATAAGGCTCTCTCATAAATTTGTCGCCCAACTTGTCGTCGTCGACAACGTAAGCCTCCAAAACTTTCCACTCATTCTTTCGATATAAGAATACGTATCTCTCTTGATATGAGTTTCGTCCGATAGGGCGACTAGCCACATAGTCATACGGTGTGGCTGGTGTGGACACTTCATTAGCGAGTTGTTGAATGATTTCATCGGATGCGCGAATCTCTTGACATAATATAATGTCGTAATATCGGAGGATATCGGTAATTATTCTCATGAGTATATGATTAGAAGACTTTTTAGTTCCAAAAGCTTGAATGTTAAGGGCACCGATCATGGCAACGTTTTTATTAAAAACGCTAGGCCTTGAAGAGGAGGGAGGAGGAAAAGAAGCCAACAATTCGTCAAGTTCAGCAGATAGGTCATCGTCTCCGGTTGCCTGTTCTTTACCCTTCTTTCGATTTTTTTTAACGGGAGTGGGAGGGGCTAATTTTTCCTTATCCAATTTTTCTTTTTTTTTACCTTTGGCACTTTTTTTGGTCGGATTCCTCACTATAATTTTTGGAATAATGACTTTATTTTTGTGTACATTACCCAGAGAAGTTGAAAATTTAAAAGTTTTCTGACGACGAGCGCGCCTTCGTTTCCTTGACTTACTATGAGTACCTTTTTTTTCCTTTGATCCGCCTGGGGAAGGAGAACGAGAGGAACTTCCTGAAGATCCCGAATCATCGGAGCTCGAACTTGAACTGGGTGAATGATGTCTAGAGCTTTGTTCCCCTTCAGGTTCTTCACTGTCGGTGCCTTCTGAATTGGACGGTTTATACTCTTTATCACCTTTTCGTTGTCTCAATTTTTTTTTTTTTTTGGCGGTTAACTTACTTTCCTCAGTAGGAACCGAAGTGCTAGGATCATCCTTACTTTCCCCCACTTCTGCTTCCTTGTCGGACGCAGGAACATAATCGTCATCTTTTTTATTTTTAGGTTTTGGAGGCATAATTCTCGTTGAATGAATTAAGGTTTATCGACAAGAGTCGGAAATGAAAGGAAAGGAAAGGAAAGGAAAGGGTGAAAAAAAGAAAAAAAAATTTTAATTCAAAATAAATCTTTTTTAAGCCTTTAACCGGCAAAATGTCATAACAAATATTGAAATGTGAAACAACTAACCAAATCTTTATAACAAGCCAATACCTGAGCTTTTTGTCATACTTTGGGTCCCTTAATCAAAAAGCTTTTAAAGAATTTTTCTATTAAAGGCCTCATAACTTCGCCACTTTATTATTTCTTCTTAAATAAACTTTGGCATAGCCAGGATCATCGGATCCATAAGCCCGTTTTTGCCAAGCCTCATAATGCGAGATTTTCTAGAAGATCAAACATCATTGATAAACCTTTTTCCATTCGTGTCTATTTTTTAAAACGTGACGAAGATATCGTTGTCTGCACTTATTAGGAAGACGGAATATTCTAAAGGAGTAGTGTGACGTTCCATTATGCTTAAATAAAGTAATTTCCATTATATTACAAATATAGTTTAAAAAGCATATGCGAGGAAACCTCGAGATGCTTATCGGACGATATTATTCGTTTTTGTAATTAATTAATTGCTTGAATGCTTTTAAAATTTAGGGTTCCAATCACCGGTTCTCGTTCATTATTTGTGTGATCATCAACTCAATCTTTTTTTACGTTTATTTTTTAAATTTCTACGATTTTGTAAAAGCGCGAGAATTTTCGATCCTGATCAAAGGTTCGCTAGGTTTTCGCTAGAAAGAACCTCGATACCCACGAAATGGTCCCTCGATATGTTTAGTATACCAACATGCGCATGCTTTCTTCGATTTATGACACCAAAAAAAAAAATAAAAATAAAAATAAACTACAAGGACGAGAAAGGATGATTGCGTTAGTTTTTGTATTTTTATTTTATTTTTCTTTTTGTATTGATTTACAAAGAAAAACGTTACCATAATATTTCATGCTCGCATGATGATAATGCATATAATGTTTTCGACATGAGAAATGTTTTTATGCATATTTTCATAATTTTAATCTTCCAAAAAAAGAATTTCATCTGTGGTACAGTGATTCCAAAATGATAGCCGGTATTCATTATCTCTATGATGATGTAATAAGTAAATCATAGATATCGAATCCGACCGTGCATCGATTGGTTTTTTTTTATTTATTTATATAATTGATGAGTTCAGACCATCACAATTCAAATATATTTAAAAAAAAAAACCAACGAGTCATTTTTTTGACCTTTTTTTTATCACGTAAGACAAGTTATTTATAGGGAAACACATTTTTTATTAGGATATTTTTTTTTTTTATTTTTTTTTTTTTTATTGCACGTTTCGAGTTATTGATGTTTTGTAAATACAGATATAAAGGGTCCCATAGACTTTTCTTTTTCGTTATTTAATAAATAATTAATTCCCTTTTAAAAATTAAAAAAAAATTTTTTTTTCTTTCTTTAAAATCATTCCTCATTTACTATTAAAAAATATATATACATATATTTTTTAAAAAAAAAAAAATAGAAAAGGAAAAAAAAAAAGGAAAAGAAATTTTTTTTTTTTTTTTCCTGCCAGCAAATTTAGAAGAATGGGAAATAATAATTCGACAATCGAACAACCTCTCCAAAGGCAATCATTGAAATCATCACTAAATGGGAAAAGAAGCATACGTTATCCAAAGGGAACCTTCCGCAATAAAAAAAATAGAGAATCACAAAATATTATGAGCTCGCCATCACCACGATTTTATTTAAAGCGAGATAATTCCGTTCATGAGCCCGTTAGACAGCAAACGATACCTTCTTTAACCGTTGATCCTCGCACTTTACTGAACAAAATTAAATCCTTGGAAAATGAAAATTCACATTCTGATGACGTTCAAGGATGGGATTCCTCGGCTACCTTAAACAATAACACTTTTTCAACAGGATCAACCTTCACTTTGGCACCCTCCGATGAAAGGACATCATCTCCATCCTTGGAAACGGAATCCATAATATCAATCACCCAATCAGAGCGTGAGGTGACCGGGCACTTCACTGAAACTCCTATTGTTGAAGAACCCGATTGTTTTGACGATAATTCTGATCATTCGATAAACATACCGAATTCATCATTATTATTTTCCAGGGAACATGACAATAGCTCAGAAGAGACCGCCACATTAAATCCATCATTATTTAACTCGGACGAATTTTACACCTTGCCGGAGGTTCACGTAATATCTTTATTGCAACGAGATGACATCGAGATGGCTGAAATTGAGATATGGAATCAATTGGTCGCGTGGGGGGTTAAGAATGCCTTACCAAACTCAGCGAAACGATTATCCAGATGGGATGAGCAGGATTTCGAGGCATTAAGGGAAAGATTAAAGAATTGCGTATCCTGGATAAGGTTCTTTCAAATCAAACCTCAGGAATTTGCGGAATATGTTTGGCCGTATAAGCAGATCCTTCCCAAATCAATAATTGGAAATTTCTTAAGGCAACAAATTACCGGTCACCCTCCAATTATAGAAACTCGTCAAAATCCGCCAAGGATTCCATCCGCCGATATAGATTCCACCGTTATTACCGGCAGACATGCATCGATATTGGCTAGCTGGATGCAACAAGATGATTCAGTGGTTGGAGGGAAAAGTCCTTTTAACTTTAGTTTACTATATCGTGCAAGTAGAGATGGAATGTCATCCAAGGAGTTTCACGAGTTATGTGATGGTCAAGGTCCAACGGTTCTTGTGATCAAAGTGGTTAACTCCAAGCAAATAATTGGTGCATTTAACCCCTTATCGTATCAAAAATCTCGAACTAGCTTGTTACGTAAAAATAAATTAAAAAGGATGTCGACAGATTCTGCCTATTGTGGTAAAGATTACCAAAATGAAAAAGAGGCTAAAATTGGTTCCTTTCTGTTCTCGTTTCAAACTCGTTATTATCCTGAAGAAACTGCTGTGATTAGTCGTATAATACCTGAATGTGTAAATGATGCAATAAAGCATTCTCGGGATGGACCCTGTTTTGGTTTAGGCCCGGATTTATCGATTAATCTAAATGGTGAAAAGATTTGTCAAGTGTTTCCGACTTCTTATCAAAATCCTATTATAAATTTTGAGGGGAAATTCGAATATGAGGAGGTTGAAGTTTTCAGTGTTATGAATATGGAACAATAGATTCTTTCTTTTTGTCAAATATATAATATATATACACGCATTTACGTACATTTATATTTGTATGTATCTGTATCTGTATATTTAAATTGTATTATAAAATTTTTTTATCTATACAAATTTATAGTGCGATATTTTTAATAAACGTTTTACACTACTTTACATATCTAATAAATCGAGATGTGGTGCCGTATAGACCCAAACTACGTTTTTAAATAAACATTTTAGTCTTGGTTTCGCCCAAAGACAATTGTTAATTTTTATAATTCCATATGTGATGTAATTGATAAGGTTTTGCGTCATTACCTGGAAGGGCCTTACGATTATGACACTTGATGATATCATAAGAACGCCTCTCATTTCCCACTTGTGAGAGTTAAAAAAAGATAGTCTCACAATGTTTTTGACATGGAGATTAACCAACCTTTTCCGACTCGTGATCACGAACGTTTGTAGCGTTAGTCTTTTTATCTACACCAAAATGGTTATGTTTGTCGCACGAATTTAATTAATAATAACTTCATTGAACTGAAACAAAATTTTTTTATGGCTTATCATTACCACAATGCTCATTTTTTTTTTTTGTGATCATCCTCACCTCCGAAAAATTTTTTTTTTTTTTTTATTTTCTTTTTCTTCATTTAAAGTTTTTTTTTTTTTTTTTTTTTTTTTTTTTTTTTTTTTTTTTATTTTTTTAATATATTTTTATTTTTTTTTTGATGATTTTTTTTTTTTATTTTAATATTTATAGTAAAT